CCGGGCTGGGGATTCGAACCCACCACCTTAGGTGTACATGGCTGGCGCCTTAGCCGGTTGAGCTATAGGCGCCAAGCCAATTTTTTCCTTTCTTAAAATGTGTACACATTTTTGGCACCATCTCTCTGTGTGTATATGTATATGTGTGTGTGTATACATACACATAATGGCATGCATTAATAATGCATCCTTAACAAGGAAGGGAATTCTTGCTCATGCTCCCAACTGAATGAACATGAAGATACTGTGTTAAGAGAAATCAAGCCAGTCATAAAACAACAAATGCTGTGTGATTCTATGAGAATCTCAAATTCTGTGAGATTCTGTGAGATACTCAAATTCCAGAGACAGCCAGTAGAATGGTGGCTGCCAGGGACTGAGGAAGATGAAATGGGAAGTGAAGTGTGAGGAATGGGTACAGGCTTTCAGTCTGGGAAGATGGAAAGGTTGGAGATGAATGGTGGTGATGGTTGTGTGATAGTGTGATGTACTCAATGCTACCAAACACCTGAAAATGGTCAGAATGGTAAATTTTATGCACATTTTATCACAATAAAAAGTACAACTGTTTTACCTGTCTTCTCTATTAAAAAATCTACTTTCTCCTTTTTATAGATGAAACCTGGATTGGCATCTACACAGCCAAGGATTGTTATCCTGTCCAGGAAACGTTTAGCAAGAATTTCAGTGTGATATTGTCCACACGGTTTTTTGACATAGAGCTGGGCATTAAAGACCCCTCAGTGTTTACCCCTCCGAGCACATGCCATGAGGCCCAGGCAGAGGAGATGAGTGAGGATTGCTCCTGGTGAGTCGGCGAAGGCAGAGGTGACAGCACAGGATGACCCGCTGCAGACAGGCCTGAGACTGTTTGGGGTGAGACACTTCACCGGAGAAAAATATAATCCTAGGAAGATAGACTTTGATGTGGATTGTTTGAATGTTGGATTTTTACCACTCAGGCTATTTTTGTAGATAAAACTGAATGGAGAGCATGTGGTAAGCTGAGCTGATGCGATGGCTGATACACTTCAGACACTTCTCAAGCTTCTCTGGGTCTGGGCTTTCTATGTGTGCAGGTGTGTCCACTGTCAGTGCCATACAGAGGGGGCAGTTCCCTTTGGCCCAGGAGGAGTATTTTATTGCTGACATTGTTCAGAATTGGTGATGATAATAAGAAATGGGATGACTTGGGCCAATTTTATTATTAATTCTGAAGTTTCTCTGTAGGGAAATCACCCTTTATTGCTGCATCGGAGTGGCAGACTGCTCCCGTTCCACCTACCCTGTCCCCATATTCCCTTGGGCACCAACAAAATGATTCCTTAAAATTCCTTTCAGACTTAAGAAGTTCATAACATAACCCATTTGCTATAAATACTTTGGAAGGCAATGGATGGCAATAATAAAAAATACATATTCCTATAAAGAGATATTTTAAGCAAGTGGGTTTGGTTGAGTGTGAGCCTGGTGAAGTGTGAGCTGCGTATCCTTCCATTTTTCTATGCAAGAGAATTGACACATGTGCTGGATCTTCACATACTTGTTAACTGGCAGGCAGATCTCCTCGATAGCACTGAATGGGAGTCAGGAGACTGTTGTCTCCTAAGCCCAAGGTTAGAATTCCCCTGTACTCTAACTCCTTTGGTTATTGAATGCACTATTCTTGCCCTCACCTTGGCCTTCCTGGGACACTGTTTCACAGCCTCTATGTGAACGTCACTTCGCTCCTCCTTCCCAGGTCAGCTCACAAGAGCTGCTCCCAATGGGATTGAGTTGCACCTCACAGCGGGAGCATGCATTTCCCACAATACTTACTAGCTGTGTGATAACTTCCTGCTTCCTGGGCATCATCCACTATCCTGGCTGTAAGCTTTTTGAGTACGGGTACTGTGTACTGTTTACTTTTATATCCCAAGCATCAAGCAAGTGCCTGGCACATAGTGCCCTAAACACCTGTGGAGTAGAAAATGCTAGCCTCTCATCCTTTCATCATCTGTTAAATATTGTTGAAATGGTCCCTTGCTAGGGAGACTTCTAATAATAAAATTTATTATCAATATCTTAGATTCTTCTACTATTAGGTTTCATCTGACCATCTATCTTTCTTAGTTACCAAGAGAAATGTGTGACATCTATATTATGCTGAAAACAATCTGTATTACTAAAATTTATCTATATTTCAATAAACAAATTTAATGCATTTCAAAGCATTCATTGTTATATTAATATTTGCTTTTGTAACAAATATGGATAATCTTGTTATGAGGGACTAAAACCCTTCTCTAATAAATAAATAAAGAACTTTACGGTGTCAAAAATCAAATCTGTTGTCCTCTCTCAAAAATCTGCTCTTCCTCTTATCTTCTTACCATAGGGTGCTGTTTCCAGGGCCCTGGGTTGGAGCTTCTGAGTCATTCCTGCCTCATTGGTCTCCTTCAGTCCCCACTGGAGTCGGTATCCCAAGTCCCATCAAAGCACTTGGTAAAGCTACTGCCCCTTGCTCCCTCAGCCCACCACCCAGATTCGGACTCATATGGTCAGCCTTTGTGGGATCTTCACACCCTCTGTCCTGTGGATGAATGAAGCCATCCTGTGTTCATTAATTCATTCATTCAGTCAGTTCACAAGCCAGTACTGAGCACCCACTCCCTACTATGCCCAGGCAGGTGCCTCGAGTCTGAGAGCAGGGTGAGCCCAGCAGGCACCCCAAGTGCATAGACCTGGAAGAGACTCAGAGCTGTGTTCCAGGGGGCCAAGCCTGCTGAAGCCCTTCTGACAGTGTTTGCCCCACTTCTTGTCCTTCCACCCCAAGAATAGACACTCCTCTCCAAGGTGCATGGCTCCCCTTATCCCTGGGACTTTTTCATTGCCCATCCCAGACCACATCCCCACTCACAGAAATGATTAAAAATGCATAAAAATCCAGAAGGATTTTACATCTGGTGGGAACTGCCCCTGTGGTTCTTCTCTATCTGAAAGTACAGTAGAGACCCCTTATCTTAGTGGAAAGCCCTTTTCTGATCAGGACCCTCTTTACAGCCTCACCACTGGACGCAGCTTTTCTTTCCCCAACTATCACAAGAGGTTGAGAGTAATGGCTGGGTCACCTATGGGTGCCAGAAGGGTTTCCTTAGTCAGATTTTTGGTGTAAAAACTTTCTAGTGTCCAATAGAGTCAATATGAAGAGGGCTATGGAGCAGGGCAGGGACTTGGGATGAAGTACAGCACTCAGGTGTCCTTTAGCTGCAGACTGACAATGGCATCACTGACAATGGGCATGAACCAGTGTTGGGAACCCCCATGTGGATATCCCACATCAGATGTCTCTGACCCTTCTGCTACCTTGGGAAAATATGCTTCCACCTCTCCTGAGTCAGCTTTCATCCTTCCAAATTGTCAAGAGCCATGGGAGTGCTGGGGGGTGTTCACCCCTACACCTCTTTCAACTCAGCTGGCTGAATGCCCAGCCCCAGGATGGAGCTCCCTCCCCATCTCCCACCATGTCATGTCTGGCTTTCCTGCTCTCAGTGGCTCTGTTATCAGGGGCACTTTCTTACTAGAAACTTTGCTAATTAAGATTCTTAAGTTTGGGACACATTTAAAAGTTCCTTCAATACTTACTAAAGGCTAGAAAGCTTAAGACTTTGGAGAAATGTTCCAAGAACCATTCATAACTCCCCACCAAGCTAAGTCCTGCATCATATGGAGACTGTATTCACCTTTTGCTGGATTTCCTTCACTAACTCCACCCTGTTCATTTTCCTACTGCCATTTTAAATTTCTTTGAGTACATGTTCACCTGTACCACACAAGGGTGTTTTCCAATTTTTCCAAATACATAGATTTGCCTTCTTCCATCCAAAGAAAGCAACTCAAAAGTAAGAATTATGTCCTTGTCATTCTTCTTGAGTCAAAGTAACTTGATGATTTAAGTTAGATGACAAAATGATCCTCTCCAACCGAAGACTTGGGAATCAATTATGAGATTTAAAGACTCTTTAGGTGAACAACTCTTTAATAAGTTTACCTTCATAGATATTCTAACATCATTAATCAATTTCTTTAAGAACTATGCTAGAATAGTAACAACAGAAAGATAGAAATGCATGTTTTATTTATCTTAAAGAAGAATTATTACCTTAGCTACATGTATAGAAAAAATATTAAGCCTATATATTGTTGTATATTTTAAATTCATATTATTATTAGAGCAGAAATTACCACTTATTTTCAATATTTATTTCATATTTAATGTTAGAAAATGTAATATAGGCCCAGCAATCAAGGGAATCAAGGAGTGAGCTATAATTATGCTATAATTTAGGAATTATTTTCAATAACTACAACATACTCAGTTTTAAGGGATCTGCACATATGTGTGTATGTGTGCTATGCTGTGGCTGCAGTTACATAATTCCCAATGACATACTGTATATTTATTTTGACCCACAGTTGTTTACATCCTATAGCTAAGTTGTCTCTTCCTCCATCAATGTAATATTTCATGGCAAAATAGGTTCTCTTCTTACTAAAATATGACCACTAGCATTGCAATTTTTAGCTGAGCTCTACAGTTTTAATAAATAAAATTACCAAATCAATTAATAAATCAAAGCATTGTCTGTTATTGTGTGAAATTGTTTTTCAGACCTAACCTGTGTGATTTAAGAACCTCTTGCTATAGCTGATGAATTTCACATAATTTTCAGCTTTGATTTTATTTATTAGATGCACACTATTAGTTCATTACTTATAGACACCACATTGACTAAGTGAAGAAGAAACTGAACAAGTATATTAAATCTTTGCAGCTGATTTCGCATGATAGAAGCTAAAAATAAAAAAAAGATTAATATCACCTTTGTTTGATTACTTGCAGTGCCCGTGGGCTTTTGGGTTGTGGTAACATCTGCTCATCTTTCTCCAAACTTCATGATCAAATGTACATCTAAACACAAAAATGATATAAAGGCATGATGGTGCTGAAAATAAAAAGTATCCATCAGAAGTCTGTCAACCTATGCCAGAGTCATCACTAACCAGCCATCAGAAGAATTAGCTCAGCAAGCGTCATGACTATTCCCTCGGCATTGAGAAGCAACAGGGAATTCAGGAATAAGGTAGAGAAATATTTCCACTCATGGCTGCATCTTCTACCAAATGTCTGGCCCTTCAGTCCAGAATCCAGGAATCAGCCTCTCACTGGGAGAGAGCTGTATTAGAGGCAACTGAAGCTACCCCTTTACCCTCCATTTTCACTCCACTCCTCAACAGCACTTCTTTCCAGAGTCAATTTTAGGTAATACAAATTCTAGTAGCTGCTAAGAGTGAAATAGAACATTGTTAATAGTATGTGAAATCTCCCAAAGGGAAAAAGATCCGAGGATTGTCGTTTTTAGGTTAAAGAAGTATTACTAACCATTGCAAATAATTGGAAATCTATCCATTCACTAAACATTACTGAGCCTTCCTATGTCCAAGACTCTTCTAGGCCCAGGACCTTCTAGACAAGGTCCTTCCCCTAGGGAGCTTGCATTCTGATGAGGGAGAACCAGACAAACCAGACAATTCAAAAAGACAGAATGATTGCCAAGAATTACCCAGAGAATGAAAAGAGGCTGATGGAATGCAGTGAACAAATAGCTGCTCTAGACAGGGAAGGACTCATTAAGGAGGTGCCCTTTAGCTGGAGACTCTAACATTGGGAAGCTGGTCAGGAGAAGAGTCCGTAAGTAACATTCTAGCTATGGGGAACAGTTACAGCGAAGTCCTCACTGCAGTGAGAGCATCTTGTCTGAGGAACTGTACA